ACGTCTGCCCTGTGCAACTGGTTTATATATTTTCAATATCCTCTACTCCTGTCATGTAAGCAGTAGGAACCCAGTAAGTATTAGCACAATGTGTAAGTATAAATGTCCAGAGTTAAAGGTGGGAGGTGGACACGATATCTGGGAGTCATCAGTGTATTAGTCATAGTTAAAATCTTGGATGAGACCACTCTGGGAAAGGAACAGTGAGAAGAGCTGGCAGACTTCTAAGGAAATGCCTTACCTGTAAATGACATGTTTTGCTAGCTCCACATCATCCCGGGACTGACACAAATGAAGCAAAGTTTGCAACTCTTCCTTTAAGATGAGTTTGTTCTGGGTCAATTTGTCTTCCAGTTTTCTAAAATAGGTTTCTGGAAAGTATAGAATAGTGGTCATCATCCAGACAGAGTAAGACTGCAAGAAGTCTGATCTAGGCCACAAGTGCACAGAGAGGAGCTCTGGGCCCATTTGCTGATTCCTCTAGAGCACTCAGGCCAGAGATGGTTCCCAAAGCATACATGCTACAGGCTACATGACCCAAGGTTTTCTCTAAAACATAGCCTCTAGGAACAGGAGAATAAGAAAAGGCATTTTTTTATTTCTTGGATGATCCTTTGATATACTAAAATTTGAGAACTACTATTTCAGAGTTTAGCCCAGGTTTATTGGTGATAAAAGTCTCACTGACTTTCCTGCCTGGGCTGGCTTTGAACTGTGATTCTCAGATCTTAGCCTTCTAAGTAGCTAGGATTGCAGGTGTGAGTCACTGGTGCCTGGCAATTTCCCTCTTTTGAATCCTCTTGGTATCTTTACTATTCAATGGTACATGACAAAAAGACCAATCCTCTAAACAGAAAGCACTCCATCACTAAATAGGTTTGCTGCTCTTTAAAGGACTGGTAGTTTTTGTTTGTGACAAAGGAGAAACAGTGTCTAGACAGTGACCTGGAGCCCTGCCTGTAAACTTCACACAGCTCAAAAACAGAAAGGGAAAAATTAAAAGAGAAGTGAAATGCAGACTGAATTAAACAGCAGATAAATATACCCACCCCACTCCCATCTTTGCGTCCCATAGATGGCACTAGGATCAGCGGAATAAGGGAAGACTGATTTCTTTAAGAACAGACAGAGACAGAATGGAGACAGGAAGTGTTAAGCAAGTGCTGACATTTAAGGAGAGCTGGTTAGTACCTGCAAAAGTCAACAGGGACAAACAAGATCTATTACAAAAGAGGAAAGAGTCCAGTGCTGGTGGCTCACACCTGTATTCCTAACTACTCAGGAGGCTGAGATCTAAGGATCATGGTTTGAAGCCAGCCCAGGCAGAAAAGTCCCTTGTAAGACTCTTAAACTTATGACCTCTGTAGAGTGAAACAATCCATCGAGGCACAGTGAAAGGTGAACAAACGAAGTTTATTTACACTATTTACACCAGAAAGGGGTCCTGAGACTTGTCCTGGGCTAGATACCCAGAACCAAGAGCAGCCTCAACCACCAAACCTGACCCCCACCTCCACCCCCACCCCGACCTTTATTAGTTGGTCTACAAACCACCAAATTAGTCGGTCTGCAAACCTCCAAACCTCAGACCTCCAAAGCTCCAAAGGGGAAGGTTTTTCCCTTCCTTCTCTTCCTCCTTCTCTGCAGGCCCCTCCACTCTCCACAGGCCTGCCCTGCTCTGCTCTAGGAGGAGTCTCTCCACAGGCCTCTCTAGAGGGAGGTCCCAAATGACCTCCAGAGGAGGCCCTGAATGGCCTCCGGAGGAGGTTCTGAATGGCCCCTCAAGGAGGCCCCAAATGCCTCTCAAGGTTTGCCCTGACCTCCACAGGCCTGCCCTGCTCTGCTCCGGGAGGCTTTCCCCTCCTGCCGTCTCTCCCTCCACTCCTACTACTCTTCTTGTCACTCTCCCTTCCTCCCTCAGGCTCTAGGTCTTTTTCTTACTCTCCTCTCCTCAGAACTCCAGGTCTCCTCCAGACTCCCCACTCCTCCCTCGGAACTGTTTTCCCCCTAACCTTGCTCCCCGCTCAAAGCACGCAGGCTGCGTCCCCAGCACGCCCCATGGGGCAGTGACATCAGCCTCTCAATGTCCTGCTCTGTCCCGTGGCCCGGTCTGTGGAGCATGAGGCTCGCCTCATGATGCCCTGCCCCTTCCAGCAGGCCAGACCACGGGACCCTGCTGCCTATTGGGGCCTCGTTGATTATCGTGGCCCCAGGGGTTATTACATTATCTCCAATTAACTCCTCAAAAACTGGAAGTGGAGCTGTGACTCAAAGTGGTAGAGTGATAGCCTTGAACAAGAGCTCAGGGACTCAGCCCAGGCCCTGAGTTCAAGCCCCATGGCCGACCAAAAAAGTGGGGGGGAGGGGGAATGGAACCTAGGGTAGTTGGGTTGTACTGGTTTCATTTTATTTTACAATAAAAATTCAAACATATCTATAGGTAGAGAAAACAATATAATGACCACTCAGCTTGGATAAGTACATTATTTTTATTTTATTTTTTTTTCCCAGTCCTGGGGCTTGAACTCAGGGCCTGGGCACTGTCCCTGAGCTTCATTTGCTCAGGGCTAGCACTCTACCACTTGAGCCACGGCACCACTTCCAACCTTTTCTGTTTATGTGATACTAAGGAATCAAACCCAGGGCTTCACGCATGCTAGGCAAGTACTCTATCCCTAGGCCACATTCTCAACATTCCCTGTTTGTTTTCTCCATATTCCTCAAACACACTAGTAAATTCCACAGTTCATACAAATTTCTGAACCTGTGGAATTTTCCAGCAGAGTAAAAATTATCAAAATGCACCATCACAAACATCACTGTTTTGTTTCCTATGATTTCATTTCAGATGTTTTTCTTGTTACAATGAAGTTTAAGTTATCTGGAGTTTGTTTCATTTGTTTTTTGTTGGTCATGGGACTTTAATGCAGGGCCTGGGGCTGTCTCTGAGCTTTTTCCTTCAAGGCAAGAGCTCTACCACTTTAAGCCACAGTGCTACTTCCTGGAGTTTTTAAACTACACAATTCATGTGAATCATTGAGGCCTTTCCATTGCATCTCTACCCATCTCCCAACTGATGATGATGATCTAAAAGCCACGTTTTGATCAGCACAGATCTATAGCAGATGGGTTAAAATAGAGCTGTAGACTTTATGGTAGTAGCATATGGGGTGAAAGGTAGAATAGGAAACTAAATAAATGTTCCCGATTCTATTTATGACACAGGTCATCACTGGAGAACAGGGACAGAGAGAGGAAGTTCAAATAACAGATGATGAAAAAATATCAACAAAAAGGTTATGTTACCTTTGGTACCAGGAAGATTATAGGCAACAACCACCTTCTTCTGTTGAAATTCTTTTAATTTCACAATATTATCTGTAAGTAGGTATCTTTTAGCTAAAAATTAAAAGAAGAAAAGTAACTTAGAATGTTTTATACTTAGTAAATAATGGGAGTACAGCTTGGTCATCTCTAACTAACCTTATTTCTCCTAATATATATAATCAGTTACATGATTTTATCCCTGGGGAAGGGCTGGGGGAAGGCCTAACTACCAGAATACAAATTAGCAGCAAGTTTTTTTTGGGGGGTTGAAAGCTACAAATTACAGGGTACAGGACTGGCAGTCAGGAAGCAGGGATTTGAAGGACTAGTAAGTAAGCTTTCTGCTTTAAGTGCAGTAAAGGAACAACTAAACTCCTAATAGCTTTTATTTAAATGCAAAACAAACCCATTTAGGTTTGGTTTACCTAAGAAGCATCAGCAGGGGTAAAAGCTACTGTGTGTCAGTTGGAACTCTCGATTTTGTGATTTACAAAATGAAGAGGTTGTGGCCTTTCAGATCTGGACTTGGTATCCTTAAAATAAAATTAGAAATCACCGATTACTGCTTAGTAAGTTTTGGAAATGATATCCTTTCATTAGGATCCTTGGCTGTGCATGAGCACAGATGGAAGTTTGGCCAAATCATGCACTAAAATTGTGTGGTACAATAGCAGGGAAACAATAATAAACTGCTACGTCTATATATAGAACTGGGGAAATAAGCTCATCAGTTCACTTCCCAGCACTGCATTCATGACTACACATACTTTAAGGGGACAATTGCTATTTATTTATGAAAAGGCAGTCCAGTGAAGTAATCTGGTGCTGCTCTCTACCATAGGCCAAGTTCAAATCCTTCCTGTAGCAATCAGTTGTCTGTGACTCTGGGCAGAAGACTTAACCTTATTTCTTTACTCTCCCAATGATGACGTCTGAAGGAACCTAAACAATGTCTGTAAAGCCCTAGAACGATGCCTGATACGAGGTTACAAATATTCTTATTATCCTTCACTACCTTCTCGAACCTAACCATTTTTATAAAGAGGCTAAGGGATGATTCCGAGAATGATGACCCCTGAGCTGAGACCCCAAATTCCAGGAGCCTACTCCATGGATTGCAAACCCAAAAGGAAGGGGAATTCTGGGAGACCAAGCCGATCCCCGCGAAGCTGCGCTGTAACCCTCGAGGTCCGGCCCCGGGCGTGCTCCAGGCTCGGGGCGCCGCGAAGGGGGCGCTCTGCCCCCCGGGACCACTGCTGCCCCCCGGGCACAGCCAAGGACGCGGGCCCGCTCCGAGCCAGAGCGCCGCTGCTCCAGAGACCCCGCCCGGGCTGAGCGCCCCCTGCTCCTCCACCCTTCCCTCCTCCACGGCCTGAGGCTGCGGGTACCTCCGACGGGGCAGGGGAGGCGGCAGCGGCCGCAGGTGGTGCCGGAGCCGACCACATCAGAGTAAGCCGAAGCTCGTGGCGCCTGCAGCAGAGCTCGCTCCACGCACCGAAAGGCCGCAGCCATATTTCCCTTAGGCCGCACCAAACTGCAAAAGTAGGGGAGGAGAGACGCAGCGTAGGCCCTGACAGCGCGGAGCGCCGAACGCGATTCGTCCGCGTCCGGAACGTCCCGCCCCCTCCGCTGACCTTCACTCCCCCGGCCCGGCGTGGCTCTTGGTACGCGCCAAGATGGCGGCCCCCATGGTGCGGCACGGCTTCCTTCAGGCTCGGAGAATGGCCATCCCTCTTCACTTCTCCCCGGCAGGTTGGTAGTTAGGGGGAAGCTTCGTGGGCCTCCCAACGAAAGTTGAATTGCATGAGAAGAGCGGTGGGGCTTTCAGAAACGGAATAAATGGTCCTGGGGTTTAGTTGCTTGAAAAGCCGTTTGAAAGGGTGTCGGTTTCCACTGAAAAGGGAGACCCACCTTCTCCCCCACGGTCCGGATGCCTGCCAGCCCCGAGGCGGGGGGCAGCCCAGAGGCGGGGGCTTTCCTGGGGGTGGGGTACAGTGTGGTTGGGTTTCCCTGTTAGGTTGTCTTGGGTGATCCTGACAGACCTGAATTGTTACCCCTGGGGCTGTGTGACATTTTTCTCTCTTCTAACGTGTTCCCCACCAGCTCATAACTTGGTCGTCTACACCCTGATCTTTATGCGTAGAATTTTCCAGTACAAATTCTGTCTGATGACTTGGGTCACAACTCTTGATGAACTCCCCCCTGCTTCCTGGCCTCCCTGCCTCCCAGCGCCCCTGCCCGCCCACCACCTCCCCCCTCCCTCCTTTCCTTCTCTCCCTCCCCCGATTTCTTGCTTTCTTCACATCATTTTCCACCTGTCAATGGCAAATGCTAATAGTTACTGCTTGTAAAATAGTGTCTGGGTTGAATTGCACCGCACCCAAACCTTTAGTGGAGCTGGTAATGATAACATTAGGGAAAAGTTATGTTTACAAAAGCCAAATTTTTAATGATTTCAGTCGTGTGCCTGGATATTTCATTAAATTACGCGATTACACGGATGTTTCCGATGCTTGCAGCAACCAAACTCCTTTAGCCTCTATTAAAAAAAGAAAAGCAACACACATTCTTGCACTTCTTCAGGAAGAAAAATCAACTATGAACTTGAAAACACTAGAAGTTTTCTGAAGATTAACTGGTTATACTACCTGGTAGTTGGCAAATTAGTGTGCACAATGCCTAACGCCTTAGTATTATCTATAGTAGGTACTGTTAGCATTTTCTAATTAAGATTGCTAGTAAATGCTTCTCAGACTAAAGACCCTGGATAGCTAATCAGAGACTATCATGGACTGCTTAACTTATTTGGGGCAACCATTCTAACCAGGGAGTGGAAATTTTGATTTTAGTTTGAATTGGTGGACTTCTGGCAAGTTTAACCTATGCATATTCAATAGCATTGATTGTATTTAAAATTTAAACTTAAAGTTAAAATTTTAGTTCCATGCCTATGCCTGTGTGGCTCATGCCTGTAATCTTAGCTACAGCTACTCCAAAGACAGAGAAGGATCAAGGTTAGAGGCTAATCTGGGAGGAAAAAGTCATGAGATCCTTGAAAATAATCACTAAAAAGTGGCTAGAGGTGTAGCATAAGTGGTAGTGCATCAGCCTACCAAGCACAAAGCTATGTGTTCAAACCATTCTGTGAGTTGTTCTCCTTTCCCCCTCCCCAGAAATTCAGTTTTGTGAAACTAGTTTTATTTTAGATGTTCGGTAGACCTATGTGGCTGTCATCATTATAGAAAGTTACATTGAACAAACACTAGATCAAAGGAGCAGTCCAAGGGAAGCAGAGTGAGTACACAGGATAGTGCAACACTGACCCACTACTATTCTGATCACAAATCCTGACCACTTGGGATTTGGGAATGCTGGCATGTAGCTTGACTTGGAGTAGTTGAAACAGTTGGTCCATTACAGAAAAAGCGGAGAAAACTACTGTGCATTGTACAAGTTCATGTCAGATCAGTATTTGAAACACTTTGATGCTTCTGTGCATTGTTAGAATGGAGGTACAGAGCTCCAACAATCAAGGGGAAAGGAAAATTAGCTGAGATGGACCTCCCAAATTGATTTATATATGTGAACTGGCTAAAGAAAGGAATCTTACTGGGCACCATTTCATAGTGGATATTAAATATATGCTCAAACAACCAAGTTAAGATAGGCATTATTTTCTGAATTTATGAAGAAAGAGACTGAGGGATACTGTATAATTTGCCCAATTTTCCATAGCATTTATTATTAGCAAGGCAAGGACTCAAAGTTACTTTTTAACGTTAAAGCTTGTCCATTTCCACAATCACATTTGCTACCATCACAACCAATCTTAGGACATTTTTATCATTCTATAAAGAATTCCCATACCCATTATCAGTCTTCTTTGTCATCCAGTCTTTCCCAGTTTCTACTCCCTGCCCTAGGCAGCCAACAAAGGCAGCCAACAACCTACGTGTGTGTGTGTGTGTGTGTGTGTGTGTGTGTGTGTGTGTGCTGGTACTAAGGCTTGAACTCAGGGTCTCCTGCTCTTGCTTCGCTTTCTCTGTTTGAAGATAGTACTCTGTCACTGCATCCACAACCTACGTGTGTGTGTGTGTGTGTGTGTGTGTGTGTGTGTGTGTGTGTGTGTGTGTGTGTGTGCTGGTACTAAGGCTTGAACTCAGGGTCTCCTGCTCTTGCTTCGCTTTCTCTGTTTGAAGATAGTACTCTGTCACTGCATCCACAACCTACGTGTGTGTGTGTGTGTGTGTGTGTGTGTGTGTGTGTGTGTGCTGGTACTAAGGCTTGAACTCAGGGTCTCCTGCTCTTGCTTCGCTTTCTCTGTTTGAAGATAGTACTCTGTCACTGCATCCACAACCTACGTGTGTGTGTGTGTGTGTGTGTGTGTGTGTGTGTGTGTGTGTGTGTGTGTGTGTGTGTGTGTGTGTGTGTGTGCTGGTACTAAGGCTTGAACTCAGGGTCTCCTGCTCTTGCTTCGCTTTCTCTGTTTGAAGATAGTACTCTGTCACTGCATCCACACCTTCATTAGTGGCTTTTTGCTAGAATTCTCAGGTTTGTCAGGCTGGCTTCCAACTGAGATCCTTTAACCTCAGGCCCCCGAGTAGCTAGGATTATAGGCCTGAGCCTCCAGTACCCAGCTTCCAACAACAATCTACTTTCTGTCTATACATTTGCCTATTCTTTATTTCATATATTTGGAATTAAAATATTTATTTCTTTTGAGATTGACATCTTTTAAATTCCTAAACAGTGTTCCATTGTAAGACTATACCACTTACCGATATCTGTTTATCAACTGATAGATATTTTTGTGTCTACCTTTTATTAGTGATACTGCCAGGAACATTTGTGTACAGCTTTGTGAGGGCACATGTTTTCATTTTTCTTATACATATCTAGGAGTAGAATTATCAGATCCTGTGGTAGCTCCATATTATTTTGAAGAACTACCAAACTTTTCCAAAACAGGTGCATCATTCTCCATTCTCACCAACTATGTGTGAGGGTCTAGTTTCTCTGCATCCTCACCAATGGTTGTCATTTTCATTATAGTAACCATAATGAGTCTGATGTCCTATCTCCATGTGGTTTCCTTTTCCTTGTTGGCAAATGATATTAAGCTCCTTTCCAGAAACGTACTTATTGACTATCTACGTGCCATAAATATGTATGCACACATTCAGTACTCCATATGTGTTCTGTATTCACTGCTTCAACCACAAATTGAAAATGTTTTTTCTTTAAATTGCATCTGCACAGTTTGTAGTTCAGTCTTTTTTTTCCTTGTCATTATTCCATAAACAGAAAATTATTAATGTAACATTTGTATTACACTAATTTTCCTTTCCCCTTGATTGTTGGGGCTCTGTACCTCCATTCTAACAATGCATAGAAGCATCAAAGTGTTTCAAATACTGATTTGATATGAACTTGTACAAAGCACAGTAGTTTTCCCCTCTTTTTCTGTAATGGACCAACTGTTTCAACCACTCCAAGTCAAGCTACTTACCAGCATTCCCAAATCCCAAGTGGTCAGAATAGTAGTGGTCAGTGTTGTACTATCCTGTGTACTGAAGTTATGAAGAAAGAGACATTGCACAAGGTGCTAGGAATCCAGCAGGCCCTCCTGTGTGCTGGCACAGATTTGGTTCTTTGAGTTTCTCTTTGTCCTCCTTGGGGGCTGGGTCACTGAGTAAGATACTTCTTTTGCTTTATGTAAAGTAGGAGTCAATATGTTAGTAAAAGTCACATGAAGATATTTTCAGGTCTAATAATATTAATAGTCAGTTAATGAGTTAGACAATAGCTCAGCAAGTGCTTTGTGTTCTAGAAAGGAGTTCTAGGGCCAGAAGTGTAGCTCAAGTAGTAGAGTTCCTAGTTGGCAAGCAGAAGATTGTGAGTTCAGTCTCAAAGCAGGGTGAGGTGGGGGGTGTCCTAGGGCTCATCTGGGTTATGATATAGTAGTGTTTATCTACATTTTCTACTTGTTAGAAATCTAATGCTTTTTGTTGTAAACTGAATTGTGAACTGTGTGGTATTGATTACAGTGTCATACTAGATTTGTAGATTTTGTGTGTGTGTGCGTGCGTGCACGTGCGTGCGAACATAAGCGCGAGCACTAGTATGCCAGTTCTGGGGCTTGAACTCAGGGCCTGGATGCTGTCCTTGAGCATTTTTTGCTCAAGACTGAAGCTTTACCACTTCAGCCACAGCTTTATTTCCAGCTTTTTGATAGTTAATTGGAGATAACAAATCTCAAGACTTTCCTGTTCTGGTTTCCTTCAAACTGGGATCCTCAGGTCTCAGCCTCCTGAGTAGCTAGGATTACAGGTGTGAGACGCCATGCACACAAGCTGAATATCAGAATTTTGGCCCATGTCTGTAGTCCTGTAGTCCTAGCTACTCAGGAGGCTGAGATCTGAGGATCACAATTCAAACACAATGACTAGGCGAGTTTGTTCATGAGATTCTTATCTCCATAGATCACACACACACACACACACTCTCTCTCTCTCTCTCTCTCTCTCTCTCTCTCAAAATAACAAAGAAAATAAACCAAAAGTGAAGCTGTGGCTCAAGGGTTAGAGTGCTAGCTTTGATCCGAAAAGCACAAAAACAGCATCCAGGCCCTGAGTTCAAGCCTGGGGAAAAAAGCAAAACAACAACAACAATAACAACAGCAACAAAAGACATAAAATATATAATCTAGTGATTGAGAACATGTTTACTAAAGTAAATAAATAAAATTGCTGTGGAATTCGACCTGTTGAGATCCTTGCCATTTTCTCTTAGGTAAGCGATTCCTGCTTTCTGCAGCCTACTCAGACAGCCACAAATGGGAAGCAAGAGAAAAAGAACATTGTCATCTTGGTAGGTATCTTCCTATTGTGTATTCTATCTAGCCCATGTGTTTCCTATCAAATACTCATGTTGCAATTAAGAAACAGTACTTTCTGATGATTCAGTTGAGAGAACTATATTCTAAGTCTCATAAAGAATTAGACTTTTTAATTTTATGTACTTTTACAGATACCTTGATAACATTGATGTTTCCATATTTCATTATACATAACTTCAGTTAGGAGTCCACTTATGACTTAAATGGATCAAAATTGAGGAAAATTGGGCTGGGAAGGTGGCTCAGTGGTAGAGCGCTTGCCTTGCATGCATAGAGGCCCTGGGTTCGATTCCTCAGCACCACATAAGCAGAAAAGGCTGGAAGCGGTGCTGTGGCTCAAGTAGTAGAGCGCTAGCCTTGAGTTCAGGTCCCATGACTGACAAAAAAAAAAAAAAAATTAGGAAAATTATGTAAATTGTATACACTTTTTTTTTTTTTTTTTGGTCTGGTCATGGGGCCTGAACTCTGGACCTGGGTGCTGTCCCTCAGCTCTTCAGCTCAAGGCTAGCACTCTACCACTAGAGCCACAGCGCCACTTCCAGCTTTTTTCTTTTTGCTTATGTGGTGCTGAGGAATCGAACCCAGGGACTAAGGCATGCAAGGCAACTGCTCTACCACTGAGCCACCTTCCCAGCCCTGTATAAGCTTTTAAAGGAGAAATAGCATAATTTATCTTTGGAAATTTTCATAGCCTTACAATTTTATATACAATGTCTACATATATACACATAAAAATATATGCATATGTATACATATATTTACATGTGTAAAATAAGCATTTAACAAATATAAATTTAACAATAAACAATGAGAAAAGTCAATTTAGGTAATTAATTTGACTTTAATTGCTAGTCATTTATACCAGTTAATTCAAATACTAATTTTTTTTCATTTTATACTTTGATATAAATATAAAATGAATTTTGTATTTAACATTTCATCTGAGTCTTTAGAACTGAAAAATAATCAAATTATAATTAACACTATTGTGTTTGACTAAAAGAAATTCCTAGCATTTTTAGAACTAAATAATTAAAACTTGTTCTCAAAAATAACTTCAGTAAGCTCTTACTAGATTAAAAATATGTGACTAAAATGTAATATATTAAACACTCAGATAATTCAAAAAAACAGCTTAAGATTTTTTTAAATAGAAATTTCAAACAGCAATGTCTCGGAGATTTTGGTCTTGTTATTTTTTATTACACTGAGAAAAATAGAATTACAAAGAAAAAATAGAAAAAATATAATTTCTTTTAAATAACAATTAGTTTTACTTCACTTAAAAATAATTATGGGGTAGAGTGCTTGCCTTGCATGCTCAAGGCCCTGGGTTCGATTCCTCAGCACCACATAAGCAAAATAAAAAAGCCAGAAGTGGCGCTGTGGATCACGTGGTAGAGCTCTAGCCTTGAGCTGAAGAGCTGAGGGACAGCTCCCAGTCCCAGAGTTCAGGCCCCAAGACTGGACCCAAAAAAAGAAAATATAATAATAATTATGGGTTACATTTAAACTTTTCTTGTTATAAGGTTATGTATCTCTAATTTACTACACTACAAGCTTTCTCTTCCATCCTATAGCAATTACTATAACAGTATTCTTATGATCAAGAGTGACAGTTCACTTGACAAATTAAACTTTAGTCATTAGTTATATCTACATATCTTTACATAGTTCTGATTTTGCATAGGATTCAAAGAAGTCTGAGAAAAGTAAGAAAAACATGTAATGAAATTATATTTAAAGAATATAATCCAGGGGCTGGGAAGGTGGCTCAGTGGTAGAGTGCTTGCCTTGCATGCATGAGGCCCTGGGTTTGATTCCTCAGCACCACATAAGCAGAAAAAGCCAGAAGTGGTGCTGTGGCTTAAGTGGTAGAGCACTTACCTTGAGCTGAAGAGCTAAGGGACAGCGCCCAGGCCCAGAGTTCAGGCCCATGACCAACCAACCAAAAAAAAAAAAAAAAAGAATATAATCCAGCATTCACATTTTTTCCAATTACAAGATAAAAGAAAGAACTTATCCCCCCCCCCCCCCCCCACACACAAAAGAATTAGACTTTTACACATGGCAAAATCATTTTTTGCTGTGCTGTATTTTTTTGTGTGTGCTGGAGATTGAACTCATGGCCTGAGTGCTGTCCCTTAGGTTTTCCTAAGTAAGGTTGGCACTCTACCACTTGAGCCATATATACACTTCTGGCTTTTTGCTGGTTATTAGAGATAAGAGTCTCAGATTTGGGCTGGGAAGGTGGCTCAGTGGTAGAGCACTTGCCTTGCATGCATGAGGCCCTGGGTTCGATTCCTCAGCACCACATAAGCAAAAAGAAAAAAGCCAGAAGTGGCACTGTGGCTCAAGTGGTAGAGCGCTAGCCTTGAGCTGAAGAGCCGAGGGACAGCGGCCAGGCCCAGAGTTCAGGCCCCACAACTGGACCAAAAAACAAAAAAAAGAGTCTCAGATTTCTGTGCTTAGACTGGCTTCAAACCCTGATCTTCAGATCTCAGCCACCTAAGTAGCTAGGATTACAGGTGTGAGCCATCAGTGCCTGGTTTCTTCTACATTTTTAATATTTCACTTTGCTTTGAAGTTACATAAAGCTTTATAAATATTATGTAAAGCTTTATAAATATCTTGTCTTTTTTGTGCTTTTGTCTATTTTGATTATATAGTTTTCATGTAGCCTGTCTGTTTTATAGAATTCTGTATACTTTTACACTTTGATCCCTTTTACATTTTTTTTATTTTACTGTGTTCTTTTTACCTTTTTAATTTTTCATCTGTTTACTCTTTTTCTTTCTTTATATTTTTTGTTTGTTTGTAGTACAAGCATTTGAACTTAGTACCTTGCCCTTGCTAAGCGGGTACTCTACCACTTGAGCCATGCTCCCATCACTTTTTGCTTTGCTTGTTTTTCAGATAGGGTTTCACTTTTTGCCTGGCCAGCTTGGACCATAATCCTGGTACTTAGTTTCCTATATAGCTGAAATGCAGGCATGTTCCAACATGCTCTTTTTTTTTTTTTTTTAATTGATAGGGATAACTTCTTACAAACTTTACATGGGCCAGTCTTGAATCCCAGTCTTCTGAGTAGTTAGGATTACAGCGATCTTCCCAATTTCCAGAATAGTTAGGATTAGTGTGTCACTCTGCCTGACTTCTGATTGTTCATTTCCTTAATTCCTTTTGTGGTCTTCAACCCTATTGGCTCTTTTCATTTTTAGTATCAAGTGATAAGTTTGAAATCAACGGGGGAGTCTCATGTAAGCTATGTAGGAAATGTTAGCAAACATCTTCCCAGGCAAAAGGTCATCATTATATGTTTGTGTATTATCAAACAGATAATAGACTTTTTGTATAAAATCCCAAGGCCTAAAAGAAGTCACTGGTTCAATGAGCACCTTTTAAAAACATCCATATTGAAAGCAGTAGATTCTACTTGTCCTTTAGTCCATGTAACATCAGTAGGACATTGGCAAAATTAATAGACTGGTGATAGTTTTATGAGACTGATGTCACTTTTGAATCAGTTCCAGTGTTGATCTAATATTTTCCCCCAGACTTCTCCCACTGTTTCTTTGGGCTTGTGTCAGATAAGAATAAAGTCTCCCTTTGTTTGTGGATTTGCCCCATTAGTGGGAGATCATCCTCCCACTAATGGCTACTGTACTGTGTTTCAGAGTGATCATTTTTTCCACTGATAATGTGATTGCAGAGAAGGCTGTGTGCTCTGGAAGGAGAGCATGGCAGGGAGCAGTCCCAGCAGAGCAGAAACAGCTGGAGGATCTGAAAATGAGGGTTCCTAGCTGCTCCTAAAGGAGCTTGTAGTTTGTTCTCATTATGAATCCCCCAGAGCCTGTTACAATCAATACTTTGCATACGTATTCTTCATTTATTCTCTTGAAGTTAAATTCAAAGATCATATAATATCCATTCCATTCCATAGGATTTTTCCTTGCCTATTTGTATCCCCTTCTGTACCATGAGCCCTGCCTTCCAACAGAAACTGTTTCAATACATGGAAGTTGCAACATTGTAGGTTATCCAACTTCTCTGTATTCTGTTCCCAAAGTGCCAGTAATGCCAGTCATTGTGACAGTCAAAAAAGACCCCTCATACTAAAATGCCCTCTAGAGCACGTGTTACTCTTTTCTAGGAGCAACTGTTCTTGTGCTGACACTAAGATAGCTTCAAATCATGATGTAGCAGAGGTTCTAATGTGCGATAAATGGATTATAAACCAAGTACTTATGGAAGCACCCATAAATGCCTGGTGAACTCCAGAAAGCTAATTGTTGTCACCTTCCTAGATAGGAAGGAAAGATGGGGTCATGAGGCTGCCATGTTTGGTGTTGGGGTTAGTTGTAGTCAATTCTGTTATCCCAACACAAATCTAGGGACTTTGTCACAGGTACCTGAATAAGCAGAAGCTGTTTGCCAAAAAATGATAATTATCTATAACACAAAAGCCACGTGCAGGAGTGTGTCCCCCTCCGATAAGACTGGTACTTGGAGAAGCAGTAGCAGCCAATCACCAAGTGCTTCCCTGCCACTCAGGCCCCTCTTCTTAGAGTACCCCGCCTTAATCCCTTTCTTACTCTGCATGCCCACAAGCCTGTGCCTTCCACAGGCAGTGTGATGTGAAATCTGCCCTAGGAGGCAGACATCCATTTGTGTCCGAGGTCTGCAGTTTTCCATTTTCACCCCTGGTGTCTGCACCTGTATATCAGGCACAGCCGTCGTGCTTGCCCAGTGGCCTGACTTAGAAGCCAGTGTTCCTTTCTTTTTTTCTTTTTTCCTTATGGAAAACGTTTGAGGTGAAGAAGTTTTGAGACGGGCTTCAGACACGCCTGCATTCTTTAGACTGGACGGTAGATGGCAGTGCGGCCCCTGTGGGGGAACCCGCCGGGCTGCAGTGCAGCCTTTGGGTGAGGGGCACAGAGTTGCGATCAGCATGTGGAGTGCTGTGATTGGA